ATATATATATATACATATGTAAACTGCTTGTTGTTCGATGCTATTCTACAACGCCACGAAACCACAGTTGGACACCTTGTCATTTTCAGCCTGTCGTGGCTATGTGTAGCCTATGGAAACTTGCATGCATCGGTGTCCTTGGTCCGCTCTCGCACCCAGATATAGTCGACTTTTCCTGGCATCTGTGTCAAGAGATTTCCCGGGGCCGTGCAGAGTGGCAGAAGCCCTCGCAGCTCCATCCGGAACCTACATCCCTGCAAAAAAGCGAGAATGCAAACGATATCTCGCATGCAACGAACATGGATTCCAGCCTTTGCCCGACGATTGGCCTTCGTCCTGAAGGACTTTCGGAACTTCGGAGGTTGGCATGAGCTGCATCAAACAAGCTGTCATATGAGGCGCCCCCGCCTCTGCCAAGGGTTCCCGGCATCTCTGCCGTGTATTCCGGCTTGCACATCCCGCAAGGTTCGGCTCAGAGGCATTATCTGTAGCATTATGTTAGTTGTAAGTTATAAGTTATAAGTGCGAAGATTCCGTAATCGTAGGCGAAGAATTAAAGGAAATAAGGCAGTAGGGACGCCCTGCTTCGGGCATCTCCGGGCCTGCTTGTTCGGCGGGCGCGAGAGCTGAGGCAATTCCAAGGCGCGCGGCAGCGTGCTGTAGGGCCTCTCAGGTCCACACTTCCGGCGGGGAAACGAGGCTTCGACGGCTTGGTGAAGCTAATACTGGCCATCGAACAACAGGAGACCTGCAAAATCTCCAGCCATGTCAGAATCCCGTGTTCAGCTGTGTGCCTTTCCTCGTGTCCAAAAGGACATCGAACGACGCCTGCAAGGTGATCGAGAATCGGGATGTGACAGCAAGTGGCTACGACCTTGTACTAGCCGCTACTAGCCTGTGTAGCTGCTCTCAGGGGCGACTGTGCCTTCGCTTCGCCCCTGTTCTGCAAAATCCTCGTTGAAATCTGCCTGGGCCCAAGATGAGTCTCGTCCCGGCAGCGTACATGCGCAGAGTCTGGAAAGACACTCTTGCCACGGGCGGGATTTCGTAGTTTCAACGCACTGGGATCAGAACAGCGAACCAAGATCCCGAGTCTGCTTCTGCCATGTCCTGTTCCAGTTGGACATCGGAAAGCCATTCACCCCCAGGCCGCGTGCTGTGAGGATCTCTACATCTGCGGAACTCTCCTGACAGCAGCTTCCCGCCACAACTGCTGGAAATCGGTGTTACTGGCACGCAAGCCGCAATCTCAATACCCACCTACCTACCCATCCCCAAACAGCGTTGATCGCGGAGACAACTACTGCTTGAAGCACGAGGGTCTGTCCTAAGCAGCTCGGACTTGAGACACTGAGAAGGCTACACCCGATTCCAGTTCAAGCCCTTTTCCGGCTCATCTCTGCCCTTCATGTCGCACCATATTCCTCTGCATTCAACTTCTAGGGAACAGGACAGAGTTGAATCCCTGCAGTCCGCGGAAGCAAACTCTGCGAAGGCTTGGAGCTGCGCAGGACGACCCCCTGTCCGGGTTCGGAGCATCGACACTGGCGCGTCGATACTAAACTTGAAAGGTTTTGCTGACTCTTGGCCGTGGGACTTCGACAGCAAGATCTAACCTCAAGTCGATCCCGACTGTCTCGGCCCACTGAAGTGCTTCGTTTCAGATCCCGAAGCGGACGTGCCTTTCATGTGCCCGGTGACCACGCGAATCTTTGCCCCACATGGGTGCTCCAAATCAACACCTGCTCGTCCCACGAGACCCCGCGAGATGGACAGCTACCCACTAAAAGCTGATTGCGATTCCGAGGCTACTGACTTGCAATCTCTGAAGAACTCTGCAATAAAGCGGGGGCTCCGGCAGTTCCAGGGATGCGAAGTAGTCCGTTGCATCCGCTACTGCTCCGGCCTCCAAGTGCGAAGCCTCACAGACTCAGAAGCGGCGAGTCTCGATAGTACATAAGCCGGAACTGTGCAACTGGCAAATGATGCTGCAAACAATACCTCCCGCTACAGTAATCAGTACATACACATGCAACGCTGAGGCCGTCTGGCCCATCTTGAACCAGCAGTGTATTCAGCCCAGAAGTGGTTCATACGTATGACCTGGCCTTGATGTTCGCCAAGGATCCACTCCGGAGACGCTTTGAAGGCACTGCTCTTCACGGCAATCAGCAGGCCTCGCTCCGGGCTCCAACGGTCGAATGCGGCTGTGCTCTGGAAGAGGGCTTTGAATTCGTCCGATCCCGCTCTCTGCTAGCCCCAGTGACCGTCGGGAGGTCTCCGGGAGTGCTTGAAGTACTTCGCCCGGTATCCGCTCCCCAGATCCTCAAGTGCACTTCATTATCAGAGGGATTAAATGGCCCAGCAAAGCCCTAGAGATTCATACGCAATCGTACGCATCGGCAGAGGAGCTTTCGAAGTCGGAACACAACTCGGAAACGTGGTTCAACTCCCACAGCTCTTGTCAACAGCTCCAAGATTCGGCCTGAAGGAAATGAAACGCATCTGAGAAGCGGCGACAATCCTGCCGGGTCGCACAAGAAAGTGTGAACTTCGATGAGGCTCATGCGGACCAAAACACAACAAACCGTGAAGTACACGGCGAAAGCTCGCCCTGCGGACAAGGCACGAGTCCAGCTCGGTATTTTCTACTTCTTGCAGGCATAGAACCTCAGATTGAAACAGATTCGGTCCTGGTTTGGAGGCCTTGTCAGAGCCGGGCTGCATCAAACTGTCCTCGCTGCAGAATGTCCTTGGCTTTGTGACAATCCGTCAAGGAACTGAGAATCCCGTGTCCACACGATGCTACGGCGGAATAAGATACCGAAAGCTCAACCTGTTAATTATTTCTGAAACTGTGAGTCCTTTGTTGACATTGTGAGCCTAAGCACACGCTTCAGATCTGCATTTGTAAACACTGCCGATTGCGGGACGGCCAGTGTCCAAAAAAAGGAGCTGTCTGATGCTCGTGCCACAACTGGAGACGGGCCATGAACGTTTAAAGAAGCTAAGCTCTGCAGAAAAGCTTCTCGCATCACCGGCCAGCGCACTGGCCTGACTGTAGGGCTGTAGGGAGCTGCGAGAGTCCCAAGTGTTCATTCTCGGGGCAGTGTTGCATCTGTCTCAGACGAGCCCAGTGATTCGCTCGGGTAGTGCAATCTAGAGACAGTGCGATCTTTCAGGCATCAACGACAGAGAACCACATTGCGGCTGAACCGAGTGCCAAACCAATTCGAACTACCGTCCGCTGCCATGCCTTGCTGCTCCTGATGCATGATGCCAAGGATGTCGAGACTTCATGCACTGCAAGACGGGGCAGAGTTTGCAATTTTTGCGCCGATTGGCGAGAAGCCCAGTGCCAAAAATGTTACCTGTGGTACACCATGGTACCAGACGACCGACTGGGCACAAGCAAGACTAAGAATCCGCAGATGCACTGACAATGAGCATTGCAAAATGCCCAGTATATACACGTTGACACACTTGGTTGTCGCTGCGAACATCTCAGACATATCACTTATGTTCATGTGACGAGATTCACAGCTGTCCTTCCACTTGACAGCGTACGTTGGACAGAGCCTTTCGGAAGGAAGCCATCATCCATCAAGAGTGGGTCGACCGGAAGTGATGAATTTCTGTCAGCTGCTGTGCTGGTACCGTCCTGCGTGTGAACATGTGTGAACACTTCTAGGGCCCGGGCAGATTGTATGTACCTGACTGCGAAAGAACAGTTTCCTGCTGTATGGGCGGGCCTAATCGTCGTAGAGCCTACGCTGGGTTACACGCACGTACACGCGAAACTGCCGCACACTGGGGGAAGCTGCCTACGCAGACATATCTCGAGCTATGATGGCCTGCCCAAGCATACGCACTACGGAGGCCTGTGCAAATTTGTCTTCTAGACGGTCAAAGCCTTTACGCATGTCTTCGTACAGTTAACAGGCCGGTTGCATGGACGGAAACAAACACCCCTCAAGATCCTCTCAAGTCTCCGAACCTTCTATAACAAAGCCCTCAAATCCTCAAAGCAGCCTATAGCCTAAACCCGGAAACCGCAAGTGAACGAGGACAAGACAAATGCCTGCGACGATGTTGGACTATGTCGGAGGTTCCGGTTTTATATAAACTCCCACATGAAAAAAGCAAACACGCTGCGCAATTTGACTGGAACTTTCATGAACTGTCGCTTAGATATGTTGTGACTCAATTTGCTGGTGGCCTAGCTGTCATGGAAAGTAACTCTGTGCTGATCTTCAGTCCTGGGTCGCATCATCAAAAAGGGGTACACCCTGGCACTTCTAGAGCAGTGGCATGAAATGCGCTCCAGCGGCATATCGAAAATGTGGGAGCCTGTGGTTCGCACTGGGCACGGTGCCTGCAAGCGAGGGAAATTGCGATTGCCACTATTTTCCAATGCAGACTGCATGTGCCTGGGGCAATCAAAAAAGTGTCTGGGCTGTATGTCATGCCTTGTCATTGTCAGAGTCCAAACTTGCGAAGGTTCAGGTGCAGGGAGCAAGGATTCTAGCTGCAATTCCGAAAGCCACCTCAGGCCCAACAAGCAGCCACAGCCAGCAAAGGCGAAAGGGGCGGCCCTACCTCGGGCTGAGGTTTAGTCGATAGCTTAGAAACGCTCACAACCTGTCAGCACTTCGCGTGATCGGATGCGGAAAATACAGCCTCACCGCCATGCATGATTTGCAATCGACTCCAATCGCTAAGCTGGCCCACCAGCACGGCGAGCCCACATCTGCCGACGGCCTCAGTGTGCGCACACCTCACAGTCAACAAGCGCTCCTCGCAATTAGAAACTTGGTTTCTCGCTGACACTCGGCGTCCCAACCAACCTTGGGACCCCTGGAGCTTGATGGCTGTCAAAAGCAGCGGCACGTGACCGTGATCATGGGAAACTTGAAGAGGCAAGCCTTCCTGAAGAAACACACAGATCCCTCTAAATGCCAGTTCCCCCCCAGCGACGCACAAGAGTCTACTTAATCGACGTGTCAACCGATCCTGAGCACCCTTCACGCGGCCCTGGGGCCGAGCTCTGCACTGCGCTCTTGTTGCAGGTTGACTCCTATACCGACCGTTTCACGTTCCGAACAATTTGCGAGGTTTAGCTCGTAAAATCTCGTCTTGTTCGGTGTCCGCTACGACCTCGCCACATCTCGCCACCGTGCTGCCTCGAGTTTCTCCGGCCGCCGAAGTGATACTTTGACCGGTATGTTCCATTTGTGCTTTTATGATCATTTATGCAAGTTTGCCCAGCCTGGTTGTTGCTCGCTGTGCGATGCAGCGGGCATTGGTGCGGCGTTCACGCCCTGTGACGGCTCTGTGAAGAGTTTGGCATAAGAGTGGATTCATAGCCTTTCACAGCCAGACATGCCAGTTATCAAACAGGTCGCAATCTCGCAACCAACATGCACTAGCTTTTCAATCCACGGGACTGCCCCGGATGAATGCAGCGACCCCCGCACAGAAACCTCGCACATCCGCCCGACGTTGCTGTCGCCGAAGTCCACTGCATCCAACGCCTCCCAGCAGATGCGGCTTTTGGCCCACCGCCCCGCTGCCATGCGCCTGAGAACGGCAGCAAAAGAAGGCTTCCAGTGCTACTGTATGCGGGGATGCTGAGCCTGCGGACCCTCTCCCTCAACCTTCCCGAAGCACATCAAACGATGCTGATTCACGAAAGCCGAGAAACAGCTTTCAAAGCTTGGTTGCTTGTCGTCCTCGGCTGTCGGAGCCACGACCCCGACGTTGCTGACCGACAACCTGGAGTGAGCTGGGAGATTTTGGGAGAGATTTGGGAGCGATTTGGGAGTGAGTTGGAGGTGACTTGGGAGAGATTAAACAGAAACAACACCGTTTCATGTGCAGACAAAGGACAACCAGCCGACAAGGCGGCCACCCCAGCAAGCACATTAGCCCATCGCCCCGCTGTCATACGCCATCAAGTATCACCGATACAACTGCATCCTCCCATGCGCCGGACCGGACGCAGAGAGTCTCTCAGATTGACAAACCAAGACCCCTATAGAAACCCTAAAGCCCTAAACCCTATAGCCCTCGCTTGACCGCAGCTCTGCATGACCGAGCCAGGTCCGCATCTCTCTCGAATCTTCCAGCTCCCCGAAGACTCGCGATGTCTTCTGTCCCGAGTTCGAAGTGACTTGTCCATTCGGCCTCGCCGGCCTGACAAGGTGCATGATCTTCGGAGGACCCGTATTCTCGAAAAAATGCCGTGAATCTGCGAGACCATACAACATAAATCGCCAACATCGGGTTAATTTGCATGAATCGGGGGTTTGTTTTGATGAATCCCCAAGGGCTTTAAGGCTAAAACAGATTCTGGCCTGTTGACCAATTACAGTAGGTACTACCCGATACATACCAGAAAAGAGAAACTCGAAGCACATGTATCTCCGTGCGACCGCAGAAATAATCTGTTTGTCTCAGCATGCGGGCCGCTGTTGCGAGCTCGTTGCTCCACCACGTGCCTATGCAAGGCCTGCACGTAATGTAGCGGCCACATGCATTTAGCAGATGGTCCATGCAGAGAGCTTCATTCTGCCAAGTGAATAAGTCTTCCAGTCTCTGATCACGTCCCATCTGCCACTTGCGAAGACGGAAGGCCAATCATTCGGAAGACTTCAGACCGCCCACCGGGCCAGCTGGCTCAGAACACGGATCCGCCTGCAGGGTTTACAGTAGGCAATCACACCACACTCGTGGCTTTCGGATTGAGACGGGGGAGCTGAAGATGTAGGGGCTGAAGACATCAACATGTCAACACATGCCACGCTGCGATCCGTTGCAGCCTGCTGCTTGTCATTGTGTGCTGCATCATGATTTACGAGGGCTGCGGAGCCAAAGATTGAGACGATGAAGACCTCTGTCTCCGGACGAGAACTGTGGCTTGCTTCCACACGATGCACGAACAATCTCATTGCGACCCGAAGCCTGGGTGCGTTGTTCAACCGAGGGGCCGAAAGAATCACTGCACACACCACCTGGAGGCAAAGCAGAGATGCACACAGCTGCTCCAGCAAACAGCATGGCAATGCTCACAAGATATGCAAGCTGTGAAGGTTATTAACATTTGTCTAGTCGCAGGCGCCCAATCTTAATCTTAATCTCGCAGCAGCTCCTACTGCGATTCACAAGGGTTCCATGCAACCGAGGCAGGACACAAAGTGGCACGCTGCCTGGGCCTGGGCCTGGGGAGGAAGAGTGCTTTCTTGACGTATCGCAGCCAGCCAGCAAACACGCAGCCGAGTAACAGGGCTATGCGGTCACATGTCTCATCCACCTTCCCGGCCTGGGGCGGCAGCACGAAGTAGTCCGAACACATGAGCTCGATGCCGATGAACACCAAAATGCAGCACCTGGGGCTTCGAATCGCTCTGTCTCGTCTGATTCGTCTGGAAAAGAGTAGGGCTGGGCGGAGCTCTCAGCATCTACAAGACAGACTGTCTTGGCCAACACACAGCCGCAGAATATCCGAGCCCATCAAAACCAAACAAAAGGATCCCTTGACAAGCACAAACAAATTCAACGTTACCTGACTCACATCCGACGTAATCTCCAAAAGACATGGGGCAAGCCGTATTTCATGAGTTCGAACATGGCCACGAAATCCTGGACGACGAAGAACATGGCACGCAAAGCAAACATCCTCAGAGGAGTGCTCGAGACCATTTAGCTTCTTTTCGAATCCCTTCACTCAAACTCGCATCAGATTTATAAACAACTCGGGTCGTCGGGTCCTGGAAATCCAGTATGGGTTTGCCATTCTGCCGTAGTTTGGGAATTAAGTCGGTGTCAGTTCGAGTTGTCACTGTCTTGTCACTCGTCTGCTTTCTGCAAGTCTTGTCTACCCAGCTCCATAGTAATATACATTCTACTTGCTACAACGCGGGTTTGAGAACCTAATCTTGGCATCCAGAATACAAGGCTGCGATCGCCACGGCTGGTATGCAAAGTACCTCCCGACTTCTTTCGGACATTCGGCCGAGTTTCTGTGGGGCCTTCGAGCTGGGTAGTTGAGCACAGTTTACTAACGCGGACATTCTTGGCGCTTACAAAGGAGCTATTGAGAACCCGTCTGGCTGCTCTGGGCACTGGAGCAAACAAACCTACTTCTGGCTGGGTCTTGGTACCGGTTTGCCGTGACCAGAAACACGGCCATGTTGCTCGCCAGCATGCTGTCCAAGTCAGGATGCCGTTGAGTCAGAAGTTTCAGAAGCAAACAAGCTTCCAGGCAAAAGACTGAACAAGCAGGACTCAGATGACAAAGAGTGAGGATGACACCAACATAACAACGAAATTACAACATCATGACAAAACTAGTAACAAGAAGAACTTTCCTGCTGGACTTTGTTTACAAATTCAGGCGCTTCCTGCAACTTCCAGAACTCGACAACGATGTCAGGTTCACAGTTCTGCACTCAAGCTATGTGCAGCAGATCTGATACAGTGCCGTGCGGTGGCTCGGCCGCCGAAGCCCGACTACGATCGCGCCGCCGCTCTACCTGTGTCCCTCGATATTCGGCGCCATGAACCCCAAAAAGATGATACCGTCTGATACCGTCTGGCTATCACCTCCGGCCACGACTGTGCCGCAAAAAATACTCCCGCCACGCATCCTCATCCTCTAGGGGTTCCCTCACTCTTCTGCAGTCTTCTGCTTGGATGTCCCGAGGCCAAGTCAAAAAGTTGGGTTCAAGCGGCGCCAGGATTGAGGAAGACACCGAGATCCAGTAGTCGGGGATCTGTGCCGCCTTTCGACACTCAATTTCAGGCACGGATCCCCTTGCCTGGCCTACAGAAGCCTCAATTCTACCCTCCTTGGCTTGGGCCCCCAGGCCCAGGGAACCTCTCAGTTTTGCCTCTCTGTGCCGCGCGAGCACTATCTGTGCTCTTGCCTTTGCTCTGCTTCGGCAAGAAAGTCCCAGCAGAGCTCGCAAGCTGAACTCTTCGAGAAAGTTCAACGACTGGCCCATAAGACTTTATAGGAGTGGACTGTGAGTCTGTGAGCACCTGCCGGTTTGTCTCAAGGCTCGCTTCCCCAGGACTTTGACATGGGGCTGAAGTTATCGCTGGGACGAAGGAGCAAACCTGAATACAAGGCCGTGAAGCAAGGACACCCGGCGACAAATCAAGGCACTGAACATCAGGAACAAGAGATATTCATAGATGATGGAATACAATGTAATCCTGTCATTATCACACCTCCGGCTCGTACTTTCTGACTTCGAAGCAGGATATGGTTCTAGCGTGATTTTGAGTCATCCTTCTTTCAAGATAAACCCCGTTTGCAATGACAGGGGACGACCAACCGCCTTCCTGTTAATTGGGCAACTGGTTTGCACTTACATCCGGAGTCGTAGCCTTGGCGCTGACGCTATCCTGAGATGCACAATCCAAGCCAGCACCGGCAGATTCAAACTGAGATTTTCTACCACTCATCTTCCTGCAGTCAAGGATCGAGCGCAAAAACCACGTCGGTTATCTCCAGGCCTGGCAGCGGCAAGGTGAAAGCAATGCGTTTTGGGTCAACCAGGCGAACACCACATGAGAGTGCACAAAATCATCGAGTGCAGATCTGAAGCCATCGCCACCAGGTATTTAAGCATGTCCAAATCGCAGCACACCACAGGCAGCAACAAAGTGAAGGCCATGTTCCCATCGCTCCACACGATCAGGTTGCCCGCATCCTGCCGCAAGCGCCGCTGCACAGCTCTGATTCTACCCTCGCAGATGGCAGGCGGCCAGAAATTCACCGCAAGAACCTCAAGACGGAGACACGGATCTACCGCTGTATCTTTGGGCGCGCTGTTTGGGGCCTTTTGCGAAATCGCCTTTTCAAACTGTGCTGCATCTGCAAAGCTTCTGTCAACAACTCACCCCAGGCACTGACCACAATGCAACACGAAATTGACCAGGAGCCGCAAGATGAGATTGCTTCGTTGGCCCATCTTGCCCCTCACATCGTGAATTTTCATCCAAGCGTGCCTTTCCATAGTGGTCCAGCAGCCGATTCCCCAACAGCCAGCGGAGAGCTTTTACCGGAGTTGTGTTCACCGCCTCGCCCTCCTGCGAGAACCAACAAGATAGAGCAAACTCCCTTCTCAGCCTCAGCCGCTGAAATCCGCCCTTCTGTGACCAAACGATAACTAATCCACAGACATCCTCACCTGAGTTGCACCTGATTGTGGGCCGAGTTCGCTACCTGCGACTCTCCAGTACTTTCCCGACAGCCTCCTCTTCCTTTGCAGCTTGGACACCACTCCTGAATCTCAGAGGCTCAATCTGTCCCGCGGACACTCAGAATGCACAGATTTTAGTGCATCTTCGTTTTCCTCGCAGAAGTTTCGTTGCAGCAACTTAATGTTCCTGCTAGCTCCGTTCTCCCACGCGTGTGAGATCCTAAGCTACATCACAGGGAGCTTCGTAGGCCCGCGACGAAAAGAACACAGCCCCGCACATCCCGCACATGGGATTTGCATGCCATTAGCGTGCCTATGCGCACCTGCTGTTTGTGTGCATGCTGACCTGGTATTCCCAACACTTCAAATTTCCCAAAAAACACAACAGCCCAAGATCCCAAGGACGGAGCAGGAAACTCGAACAAACATGCAAGTCGTGACAGTGATATTTCGGAAAATCGTGTGCTGTTGGTTCGCGGAAGCGCTTCGGGTCGAAACTCAGTGAGACCCGTAACGAACATAAGAAGCAGAAACTGGGACCCTGGCATGCAGTCTTGCCAAGCTGCCAAATCAAGAACATGCCGAAGACGATACGAAGCCAGCTAACAAAATCCAAGAGCTCCCTGCGCCCGCATGCAGGGTGTCGCACAGAAGACTTGGCGGCTTAGTGCGCTGCGTATCACAGCACCAAACTTACGGGAGGAGATTTCAAGT